CACTTCACTGCATTACAGCTGCTGAGCTTGAAAGGCAGTGATAGGAGTAGGAGAAGGAAAAGAAGCTTTTGGCTGGCTCAGGCAAATCCGAAATCTCTGCTCTTTTCCTGTCTCTCTCCCTTTTCAAACACAGCACCGTGTGAGAAGACGAAAGAAAAACTTTGCAAATAAATAAATCACGCACAATTCATTTTTTTATAAAACAGAGTGCAGTGTTTATGTTTAGCCTCGATCAATTAACATACACAGTGCACCGACGGTGGTGATAGTGGCAGTGCTTTTTCAGTGTAAAAAAGAAAAGCTCTTCTTTTTCTTCTGGCAGTTTTTTAGGCGATGCCGTAATAATAATAAACAGTAATAGTAATAATAATCAAAGCCGTCAAGTGGTGCTGTTTGCCGACTCGATGTCTCTATCTCTTTCTCCGCCTGAGCTATTGGAACTTCTGCAAGTGTGCAATTTGTGTGCAGTGAGTACAAGGCCAAGTTGTGCTGGTTGCAGCTCACTGACTGGTCATTAATACTTTCTGCCTTAATCATGTTATGTGCTTTAATCAATAAATTAGCTGCACTGCTTCCGTGCATAATGATCTGCTGCCATTAGGATTGGTGCTTCTACGGTGGCCGCCGCGCCGCTACCACCGTCGTACTTTTCGTCCATTTTCAATTGCTTTCTTTATGAGATAATCAAATTTGATCGTTTGCTTGCTTTTCTTATTTTTCCAAGTCAAACTGTGAATCTTGCCAATGCCTATGCACTTTTCTTTCAGTTTGACCTTTTTAGTTCACTAGAAATGACTATACCCATCCTTACTAGTTGGCCGTGTTCAAAGAATTCTTAATAAGAAAGTAACATACCGTAGCTCACTGTCAAGCATAGTTTGCTCTAATTAGGCCAGGAGAATGGTAGAGTTGACAACTTACAGATGATGGCAAGCTCATTAGGAGATGCTACGATGCTGGCTGCTGAGTGCACCCTGCAAAAAAAAGAGTGTGCATAACTTTCAACTTTCTAATTAAAGTGCGCATCGTTGCTAATCCTGATTTACTGTTACCTGGAAAGTTATATTGTAGTTAAAAATAGGGCACTACTGCCACATTGCAACACTTTTTTGGGTTGTACCGCCGTGAAACATACACTTTCGGACTTGCTTCACTCTTTCTCTCTCACTGCCCTTCTTCATAATCGCATTGTCGGGAAATATTGAAATGGCAGCCAATCACTTTAATGGCCTCAGTGTATAATAGCACAGAGCAACTGGCCACTTTGTTGTCGTTTTCCCTCTCACTTTCATTCTTCCCTTGAACTGCTTAAACTTGAAGCAGTGCAACAGTAGCTGCAACAGCAGCAGCAGCATCATCAGCCTCTTCAGACAGCAGCTTTCTCAATTGGCGAGACTTTGTTTGTATCGCAAAGACTTCTAGACTTCTTCTGGAGGAACGGTGAACTGGGGATGTGAACGGCTTTGTCTGGACAGCAAGGAGGCAAGCTAGCTGCAAATCTGCAGTTTGGACAATGGCGCAGTGGCACACGGTGGCAAACCAAGGGCTAAAGAGTTTGTGTGTCCCTTCGATGGTGTCTGCGTGCCCATGTGTCCTTTGTCTGCTTTCTTACAGCTCTCCCTAATGGAGCGTGCACTGCGAAAAGCGCAACTTGGTGCAACTCAGTTGTGCAGGAAGAGAGTCCCAGCAGCATCAGCTTCAGCTTTAGCATTAGCAGTGGCCCCTCTCGCAGCTCAGTGGCCATGACCATTACCAGGGCAGCGTGGAAAGCGATGTCAAGCATATTTACTCAGTTCAGGCGACAATAGCCGGCAGACAAAGAAGGAAAGAAAGACTGGATGGGAAGAAGGCAGCAGTAGGAGAGCAGAGAATAAGCGAGCCAACCACGACGACGGCGATGTATTTCATTAAGCCAACAAAAATAGAGCAACTTAAATTGAACAAATTTATCATTGCAGCAAGTTATATTCGTTTGATATAATTTAAAATTGTTAAATTATTGCTGCAAGAGAGAGAGAGAGAGAGAGAGAGAGACTGTCTCCAGAGATAAATAATCATCATCATTGAGGCAAACATTATCGGCGACCAGAGTGAAACTTTTTCTTGTTGTTCTCCTACGAGCGCCTATAATTGGCCAACCTAATAACTTAAACGATGGCTACGATAATGGAAGGCGAAAATCCAAACAGGCGAGAGAAAATAAATGGAATTAGTGCGCCGTTGTCGTGTCCTTTATGGTCTCTGGCATGCATATTTATCTTGTACTCCCTCAACGCCGGCCCTACTAAAGCACTTTAGGGCAAATGGCTTATCTTAGAAGCTGTGCATCAGAGCTCTGCCAGCTGCAGCAGCGGCGGGAGAAGCAAAAAAACAGAAAAAGCAGTAGCAGAAGAGAAAGAGAAGAAAGGAAGAAGAAGAAAGAGAATGAGAATCAGAACACTAAGAAGACTAAGGAGCTACCGAAAAACAACGAAGGCCGCCCGCCAAAGACTGCCAAATGGCCTGCGACTGCTTTTAATTACGTCAAAGAAGGCTAGAAGGGATGCTTTTTGCCACTCTCTGATTTTGCCTGTTCTCCTCCTCAGTGGCGACCTATGTCATCGTCAGTTGCACCGTTGTTGACTTGTGACAGTGCAAGTGAGGGGCTGGCTGGTTGACTGGGCAAACTGTCTGCCGACTTGTCCTCCTCGGTCGCTTATTAATAGGCAAATTATTATAAATACTACCCAGAGAGAACACAGCAATATTGACTGCGCGCCCACTAGTTAGCCAGTTGTTACATCACCAGAGACCATGCCCGGGTAGTCTCCTGCTCCTCTTCTGCCCATAGTGCCACCGAAGCGAAAGAGACACAAAAAAGTGGTGAGCAATCACTCACTCTTGGCCATCACATCTTTTGTGCTTCTACTACGTACTCTCCGGTACTCTCCTGTTCACTTGTGCCCACTTTCCGCACTTCTAAGATGCATCGACACGAAGGCGCATATGTTCGCTGGCAACTGTTTCTGAGAGTGACACTGTAGTGGTAGTGGAGACATTACCATTAACAAGTGAAGCAAATCATTTAATTGCACGAGCCACTCAGCACAGCACCAAGCACAGCACAGTGAGAGTGTGTCTTGCACGGCACTTTGCTCGCATTACGCGCACTGCAGCACATTTTCCCTCAACTCCTAAAATTGTGTATTATATTAATTATTAGCGGCCTTCAATTTGTACTTTTAGTCAGCGGGCGATACGAAGAAGTAGGAGGGGAAAGGAAGAAATCCATCTATTCATTCTTGTGAAGTCCCCTTGAGAAGTGGCGGCAGCAACAGCAGTAGCTCATTGTTGACAAGCGATATTTAATTACGGATACAATTTTTCCGATAATAACGAATTAAGTACGATCAATCACAGTGTCATATGCCTGAGAGCTGGGGGCGACGAGGACGAGAGCGAGTGATGAACGCCGATGCCACAGTCGAACAAGTGCTTCCACTGACTTTGAGGAGAAGCCGTCCTGCCTGTTTGCCTGCCTACTCTGCCTATCTGTCTGTTTCTCTCAGCCTGCCACTGGCGACATTGTCTTGCGCCCATTCCCGAACGTCGTCAGACATCAAGACATTGAGATCGACATCGAACACACTAATGTAAATCAATACTGAGTGCTTAGAGGAAGAAAAGGAGGAAAAGGAGGAAAAGAAGAAGAAGAAGAAGAAGAAGGTTCTCTGCTTGAAAAATGGTCAGAGTAAAAAGGCACCAGCAGAGGCAGTGCATAATGATTGCAAATCAAATTATAAACGTACTTGCAAATGGGCCCCTTCGCGGCCTTGGAATCAATCTTCTGCGATCTCTGCCTCGTTCCGGTCAATAGTAATAGTGGAATCGACCACAGCAATAGACAAATGTTTCTCGACCAATTGATTAATTTAATTAAAAAGCAATTAAAAGCTGCATCGCCCGGCAAACAGCACCGACACCACGAGTGAGTCGCATCTAACAGCGGCGAAAAAGGAAGAAAAGAAACAAACTGAAACGGCCTCTTCTTTCTCAGACTTTTTGACATAAAAATGGTCTCTGACCAAAATCGTAAACATTGTGTTAGCTTCCAAATAATTATCGATGCATTTCTGCATGCGCTGCTTGCTGAGCCTCAATTACGCCCATCTGATCAGTCCTCTACAGTTTGGCTTCTTCGTTTTCCGCCAAAACGCAAACCCCCAAAACAGATGAATTGAGGGCAAATGGTCGGCATCAATTATTAATTATGCGCCACCGATTGATGGATTCAAATGAAACTAAATTAAAATGTATTGCTAAATGCTCCAGTAATCTGCCATTCCCCTGAAAGCTTGAGGTCCTTCAGGTCAGTCAATCGATAATTGATTTCCGCAGAACGACCAGATTGCCCGTCATAGAGTGCATCAGTGTCTGGTGCGGCAAACAGGCAACTGAGACATGTCCTCTCGGCTTGAAGAGAAAACATGGTCAGTGCAGTGGAGAAGCAGAGGCGTCTTGGTAGTGCTCACTGCAACAGCAAACAAGGGGAAAGTGACTCAGTTCGGATAAGCGCCTTAATTACTATCATGAAACTAATTAAACATTGGCAACTTTGCCAACACCATTAAAAATTTATATTTTCAACAATTTACCACACACTCCTTGTTGTTGGGATAAAAACAAATGGAGAGACTCTCACACCATGTGTGTGCTTTATTGGCAAATGTAGGCAATAAATAGAACGTTCTGTTTCGATTGCTAAAACATAGAAAAAAAGTAGTAGTAGTGCCGAAAATAAAGGCGAGCGAAGTGAAAATGGAAAGGGAGAGGGAGAGACGGCAAGCTTCCTAGCATGACTAGCCGTCATTAATCTTGTATCATAGTTTTTCGGGTAGTCCGTTGCGACCGCTTGCGATGGACCGATTGGTTTGGCGAAGGTATAACTTTCCTTTACTTTTCCGCTCGGTACATCTTTGCTTTTGACTGTCACTGCACTGGACGGCTGTACATTTTTTATTTTAATTAGCGGAGCTTGTTAAAGTCCGAAGTTTCTTCAGTATGGTATCGATTCTAGCCTTCTTATCACGCTCATTTTTCGAAAGTGAAGAGAAGATATTTTTCTTACTGTCGCCACTTATCAACTTCTCCAGAAGGATGAGGGCAGTTTGGGGCTGCACGCGAAGATAGCGAGACTCATTCTTGCCAAACTCGGCAAAGTACGTGGGCCAGCCATCGAATTCTGTTAAAAGTACCAGTGTTAGTAAAGGACCGTTAGACCATAAAGATTTATTTTTACCTATAAACAAGTCCATAATTTGCCGAAGTTCAGTAAAAGAGACCTGTAAGGTGCCCTCTTCAAAGTCTTTGATTGGCGCCGATGAAGCAAACATTTCACACTGCATGAGGTCCAAATTGAACTGCTGTAGAAATCCGTTTGAGATGGACTTTACGTCATCGTCAATTAGGACGTTCAGTAGTCTGTTGGCGATATACTTGCAGGCAGACAAACAGGCGGTTTGAGCCACTTTTTTGGGCAAGTTAGTACAGGCCTCAAAAGTGGACGTAAGAAAGGCCATCAAATCAAGAATGTAAGAAGAAGCTTTGCCCGGTGAGTCCGTCAGCAGGTAATTGTAGTTTGCAATACCGAAAAATTCATCAATCTTGAAGTGCATCAGTGTGTATATTTGCGCCTCTGCTTCAGATCGAGCACCCTGGAACATCGTACGTCCTTGCAGGCGAGCCAAGTGTGAGCTGGGCTCGTTGTTCATAGAGATGGACTTAATGTACGATTGGTCTTTTCCATTGAAGGCTTTCCTCGGCACAGCCAAAGCTTCCATACTTGACTGAGTCACCGTTTTGTTGTGGATCAAATCGGAGATGTAAATCTCCAAGTAGGTGCTCGCCTCCTCCAGGTAATTGGTGTTGATCGATATTTGAATTAGCTGCGACAGTTGCAATCCCTTCTTTTTAATTAGACTAGATAAAGAATCACTCAGTGTTCGAGTGAGCAGCATGTTGGTCGACTTGCGCACGGTGTCTTCAATGTCGCTATTGCTAAGGTTGAGGTCCTGGGTGAACTCCAGAGAGGTGGCAATAAATTCCCGAATAGCTTTGTAAACTTTAGGCACAAAGGAAGAAAAGGGAAACTTTTTAGGAAAGGCGTCTTTTGCGTTGTTTTCCCCGCATTCGGTAAAGTGATTTTTGAAAATCTCCATCTCCGCAAAGGGAAAGTCGCTGAAATACTCGTCAAACTCTTGCTGATTGTTGACGTGCAGTGGATCGTAGTTGTCATCGTCAAAGATGCTGGAAAAGACTTGCGACCATTGGCGGAGAAGAATGTCAATGTATAGTTGGCGGAGCTCGACTAGCAGTTTCATAAGAGGGTCTACAGAATAACCGTAGCTCTGTGTGGTGTGGCAGAACAGCATTAGGAGGCTCTTCATGTACAGCATCTGCTTCGGGTCGTGACATATGGAGGCCTGCAGGTGAACATTCTCCACCAGCGACTTAATCACATCGTCCCAGTTCTCTGACAGATACTGCTTCGTCACTAGGCCGCTGGAGGTGTTGAGCAGATGGTCCTCAATGACGAAGAAGCCGACCACGCCAAAGAGGTAATTTCGAAAGTTATCACCCGCAAAGAGGCTGTTGGGCCCGGAAGAAATGGACTGCAGAATAAGCTTGGCTTGTTGCTTACGCTGTTGACGATAATAGTTTTCAAACTGATCTCGAGCGCCGAGGCAGCCAAAGATGTGCAGACACCGGTAGACGGGCGAAAAGTCGACAATGTCAGTGGCGCTTAGCTCCTCATTGATGAACAAGTATTCGTCGTCCAGGTTTTCGCTGTTTGCCATAGTACCGTTTGAAAGTGGCATTTTAAGCATTTTCTCCGAAACGACACCGTTAGGCTTGTGCTCGTTGATAATGAAGGAAAACTCTTTAGATTTGTGCTGAGATGCAACATTTTTCATGGCGATCTCGCCAATTTTTGAGGTTAGCTGACGAATGTTCTCCAGAAAGTCCTTTAAGTCCTTCATTGATTCCTTTTTGATGGTCTCTCGGAACTTTGGAACACGCTGACACATACTTTGAGCGAACCGGTATTTCCGTATTTTCGGTATGTACAAGTTTTCAAATTGTTCCAGTGTCTTCAGAGCAGGATAGTATTTTTTCTCCTTCATCTGCTGGGTTAACTTTGAGAAGGTCTCCAGCACTGGAATGCACTCTTGCAGATGCTCAATGGCGGTTTTGGTGTTGCAGACCATTCGTCGGTATTTGATCAGCTCATCAGCTTTACGCTGAATATTCTCCGACGACCTTTGAAGCTCAGAGTTGATTTGGATGATTTCATTTTTAAGGCTGGTCGCTTGTGGTCTCACTTTAAGCAGCTCGTGAATGCAATCGACAAATCCCTGATAGTGGCAGTTGCACATTCGTTCGATGTCCTTGTCGTGATTCTTAATCCGCTGGTCAAGCTTTTCCATGAATCGATCATGTTCATCGCCATCGTATATTGCCCTAGAAGCACAAAAAATGAGTAATTAGTAAATCAGTTTGATTAGAGGTGTGAAAGCGGTAAGATGATCTCTGTAGCCAACCTCAACACCAAAGCAACAGTACTCGTGTCTGAAGTTTCCAATTCTATCAGCAAATGGTCGTATTTGCTATCAGCACTTGAATTGGTTGAGAATATTGAGCGACTCATTGTGAAGAAGATAGATAAAGATAGGAGGATACATATGCTGGTCAAGTTGGTGAATCAGTGCACTGTATGCAATGAAACCGTAAGCTATTGCTACCGATAAAACAAACCCAAAATAAACGCGACCGGCCTAGTGCATATAGGCAAAATTTGTTTTGAATCTGGTTGAGCACCTGGCAACAGTTTCTAACAGTAAATTCAAAAGTGCTCACCTGATAGTGGAGCCAAGCTGAAAGAGCGGCTCCATTTCAATTTCGGCGATGTACATGTCGATTCGGCGTTCCTTGATTTCCAGTTGAAACTCATCACTTTCATCGTTGGCGGAAAAGTGCTTCTTTGGCTTCTCTTTGAGCTCCCTCAAGTCGGTGATTGAGTGAGACATGCCTTTGGATCGTTTCAACTGTGAGGAGCTGTGCTGGTTGAAGAGGTGCTGGTTGATGACTAGTTGATGGGGGCTATTCGGGTAGCCCGACGGATGGCCGTTTGCCTTTGTTGTGAATCGGCTGTTGCTGTTGGAAGCTCTGGTTGGCGTCGACTGCCCATCGTACTGCAATGTCTGTCTCTTGTCATAGGCGCTCGACAGGCGCGCTTCGACGCCTCCTCGCTGACTGCCATTGTTGGTGGCCACATTGCCTGCTCGCCGCTTACCGTCGAAAGCTTTGGCGGTGGGGGCGTTCTTGTGGTTCAATGGACTGAACACGAACTTGTTGACACTGTATGGCACTGAAGAACGCTGGTTGCCGCCTCCCACACGACTGTTCGAGTTGCTGTTACCGCCGCCACTGCTGTTGCTGCCTCCACTGTTGTTGTTGTTGTTGTTGCCATTTCCACGGATGCTCCAGCTGCTCTTGGATAGAAACTTTTGGTTTATTTTCAATAGGGAAGACATGGCGCCAAAAGAATTGTTTGCTGAGGAGGGGCGCCAGTCGGTGCTTATCGATGTAGATAAATGCTGCTGATCAAACAGCCGTCGTCATTGGAGTTGCAGATAAAACAGGTAGATGCTGTTGTGCAGTCGCTGCTACTGCGTCTTCACTGATGGTCACTGATGGAGAGACAATGCAGGAGGATAGCATTGTTTGCTCTGCATTCAAAATAAGTCATAATTTTGAAGGCTGATTTTGCAACTTTCAGTTGATAGTGCAAGTTCTTGGGAGAAGAAGGCAATCGGTGTGTTTGTATTAGTCCCCGCAGTGGCCGCAGCAGAGGTAGGTAGCATGAGGAGAAATGAGCCAACAAGAGAGCAGAAGTTGTTGGCTGACCGCGACGTGTTCGTCAGTTGCTCCGAAGCTCGCTCACCGTTTCGGTGGACACAAGTTGCCTCAGGCTGCTGGCTTCACACTGAAACGAAACAGGTTTTGCCTTTCTCCTCACTGCCGCAGCGGCAGAGGAGACGAAGACGGCTTTTTCAGACTGAGGCAGTGGTACACCTCCAGATGTGATGCCGTCCTCGGTGGCTAGTATTGCACCGAGAGCAAGTCAGGGAAAGAGTCGGAGACATTCTGACAACAACATGAATGATTACCTTCTTTGGCAAAGCAACAAATGTTTCAAACGGCGATGATGAAATGCTACACAGCTGTGAACAGAATTGTACCACACAAATTTTAAGCCAAAGATAAATTGCCAAAATGCAATTTAAATGGAAGGCGATGAGGATTCGAGTGAAAGATTAGAAAACATATGGTAAATAGATCAACTTTAGAATGAAAGAATGTCAAAAAAGGCCGAATTTATCCGCGAGATTTGCATCGTTGTAACATCGTTTATGAATACGCGCGGGCAGAAAAAAGTTGCATCATTTTTGTGTTTTGAATCTTGAACGGCAACAAAACTTCACTTTTTACCGGTTCATTTTCTACTTTTAAAATCATGAAGTTTGTCGTCGAAGGAAGGCGTCTTAAGGTTCTTACCAAGTCGGTGCGGTTTTTGGCAAGATACTCCGAAACGACCAACATTATCATAGATTCTACTGGATTTGGTAAGTTATTTTGCATTTATAAATTTTAAATGTTTTTCTAACAATTCTTTAAAAATAGTTTTCAAAGCAGTCAACGATACACGATCGTCATATGTTGAAGTTCGCTATAAAAAAGACTTTTTCTGTGAAAGTTCACTATCGGAAGACGATGATCCCTCTTTCCAATGCAAAGTCGACATCAAATCTCTTCAAATGGTGTTTCGTGTTTTGAACCTTGGTTTGTTACTGATGTTGCTGTTTGTTTGCATGTTTAGTAATTTAGTATACTTTTCTTTCTAGACAGAACGTGTGAAAAGTGCATAATAAGGATGGATAAGGAAAATCACAAAATCAAAGTTGAGATGAGAGTAAAAAATCACATTCATCGAGAGTACGTCATCCCGTTTATGGAACATGAAGTCCTCAGGTGTCCTCTGGTATCCACCAAAATGGCCAATCCAACAATGAAGTCGTCTGCAAAGTTTCTCACTGAAGTTTTTTCTAATTTCGTTCAGTCAACAAAAGAAGCCACCATTTGGTTGTTTGACAATAACATTCGTTTCAAAAATTTCATGGAAAAGGATGCACCCAACTACTATGAAGTTGCGAACACTAACTTTACTATACTTGCTACCGAGTTCAGCGCCTATAATTATGTTCACCCATTCTCCGTTACATTTAATGTCAAAGATGTTAAATCATTCGTTGAATTCGGCTGTCATCAAAACCAGATCATAAACACCTACTTGCTGAATGACTTGAGCCCAATTGAGCTGAATTTCATTTGCACTTCCGATAATTACGCGGCGCGAGTCGTTCTGGCGACATTTGAGTTTGACGCATCAACACAACCGCAACCACCGCCCTTTAATCCCAGTCAACGGAGCTCCTACCAAAGTCAAACAACTTGTACTACCTTAAACTATACAATGTCATCGGCAAATATGTCACCTCCCAGCAATCCTCCACCAGCTACAACTCCCAGAAATCCTCGACCAGCAGCAACTCCCAGAAATCCACAAACAGCAACTTTCAGAAATCCTCCACCAGCAACAACTCCCAGAAATCCTCCATCAACAGCAACTCACAACAGTCTTTCACCAGCAGCAAATCATAACATTCCTTCACAAGCAGCAGTTCGCAACAGTCCTCCGCCAACTGAAGCTCAAAACGATTCGGTCGGCTTTAGTATGAACACACCGTCAAATTCAGCCGGTCAGGGAATTTCAGAAAATATAAATGAAATTATTCAAAGTTTGCCAAACTTTTCTGATCCCCAAGATGACGGCTCCGAACCAATTGACTACATCATAGATTATGAAGGAACCCAGTTGAGGGAGTATCATAAACATTTCTTCTATGGCCTGGACTCTCAGGAGAAGGATCGAGTGAACTTTGCCGATCTAGAGACGATTGTTTCAGATTCAGAAGAAGAAATTTAATTTATTTTATTTATTGTTATCCAAACCTATTGTTGTTTTAANTCGAGTGAACTTTGCCGATCTAGAGACGATTGTTTCAGATTCAGAAGAAGAAATTTAATTTATTTTATTTATTGTTATCCAAACCTATTGTTGTTTTAAACATGTTACCAAACATCATCTTCAAAGTTCTAAACTACACGTGTCTTTCCTTTCAAACTTTGAGCTATATGAAGAGCTGTAAGCTTGACTTTTCAGTTTACTCTGCGTTGTTGGGTGATCTGTGATCTAGAGCATCTCTGACACTTTAACACTTCCTTCTGCAAACTCTTTTTCGGCCGGAAATGCCGCCTTCTGCTGCTGCTGGTGGGGGCGGTGGGGGTGGCGGTGGCGGATCGTCCGCTCCAAACTGTCCCATCTGCCTGGACAGCGTGGTCACCCGGACGACAGCTCTGAGCTGTGGGCATGTCTTCTGCCACGACTGCATCACCCACTGGGTGCGTCTCCACAACCGCTGTCCGCTCTGCCGAACTGTGATCCGCCGACTGCTGACCCAGGAGTCACAGGCGGGCAGTGCCACCCCGGTGGACCACTTCGAGGAGGTGCACGTGCCCGATGAGATGCGCGGCTTCGTCCTCAACCTGGGCTACCTCACCGTGCTGCGCACTCCCACCGACGAGTCACTGTTCATGGTGCAGCCGGTCAGACTGGACAACCCACTGCGCGTCTTCTACCTGCTCCGCGTCTTTGAGCCCGCCAACACCGTCCTCCTGGCCGACCTCCCCCTGAACACGCTCTTCCTGGTGGAGGAGAATCTGGCCGAGGTCACCGCCGTCCTCCAGTCCAACGGCATCTTCCGCATCGAGGACGGCCTCCACAATGGCGCCTTTCACCGCCACGCCAGCTACCTGGAGCAGCACGAGCCGCACCTCGAGGACCGAGATCCCGCTCATCGCACTCCACCTGGTCGGCCTACCTAGCACCTCAACGGGGAAGGATTAATTAGCTTCATTTGAAGAGGGATACTCCCTAATTTTGATTTTTTATTACGTAATTTGTGCGCAACATTTTACTCTACTACACGCTAGATGGTAGTACCAATTAAACAGCAGCAAAAAACAGACGGGAGAATATAAACAGAGGAAAAGTGGTCGGGGGGATTGGGATGTGTGTGCTTGTGTTTGAGTGAACCGTCAAAGAGTGGAGGAAGAGAAGAGCTCCTCACTTGGCGTCTGCTGAAGGCAGCAAAAGTAATAGCTGATCGTTCCAAGTACGCTGGACTTTTAGGGAAGTCACTCCAAGGACCTCTCTCATCGGTCGTTTCTGCACACTTTTATATTGCCGATCCGTGCTAGAAGTTTGGAGCTGCAATAACGTCTTCTCACCACCAATTTACCACCGCTGATCTCAATTGAACACTTAAATGAAACGGGAAATCAGCAGACGCCGAAGAGAAGCTGCTGCCGTCGTCTGTCGTCCAGAAAAGAGAAGCTGCCTCACTACCCGACTGGTTTCTCTGTCGCCCTTTGCTTTCGCTTTCTCTCCCGCCTTTTCTCTCTCCCAATCTCTCTCTCAATCTTTCTCTCTCACTCACCTCATCCGCGTTCTTGGGGCACTTTGACTAAGGTGCATTGTACCTTTGCACACACACACACTGAGCTCTGATACGCAGTTGGTCAAAACACACTACGACTTGATTCTTCTGACAGCTGACTCATTTCCTCACACTCTCTCAGTAATTGTCCGATTACTGGTGCAGTCTTTCTCTCCGATTTTCTCCAGTGCACTGCTTCATCCACTCTCAAATCAGCGAGAACATTCCAAGTGTGCGCCTTTTGCAATATTCTTACGTCGATGACCTACTTTTTAAATTTAACTACTGTTCTACTTTTCATCGTACTTTGACTTCTCTGTGGTGCATTGTTGCACTTGTTCTTTGTAAGTGCTAGCGCTTAAATAAGCTGTGAATGATTTTTGTTTACTTATGTTTTGTTTGTTTGCAGAATTATGCCTAACAAAGAAGAAAGTACCGGCTCTTCTAACGAGACGAAAGAGGGCAGTGATATTTTCTACATGGAAACCAAAGCTGATTCTGAAACCATCAAGGAAACGCTTAATCCAAAGCGGGAAAATGGTTTCACTAACGACAGTCCAAACAAAGCTGATCGACCAGGAAATCAGCAGCCTGCAGAGCAACAAGGATCGGGGGAAAACAAGCGACAACGACCAACATTCAACGGCGCTCTGCCGGCTCTAGGCATTTCACCTCCCAATTTCGTGTCGTTTGAAGAGATCATGAAGACGGCCAACGACATGAGCCGAATTTCACTGGTAAATGAGATTGTTTTCAACAAGGACTTTAAGATTGAAAAGAAAGAAGACGAAAGTCCCCTGGAGAAGGCAGTTCGCGAAAACATGCACAAAGCATTCTGGGACATTCTCTCCAAACAGCTGAACGAATCTCCTCCGAATTACAAGCAGGCCATTTCGCTGTTGGGCGAAATTAAGGACACTTTGCTGCTCTTTCTCATGCCGCAACATGTTCAGCTGAAGAATGAAATCAATGAAATACTGGATCTTGAGTTGATCAACCAGCAAGCTGAAAATGGCATCTTTGAGTCACAAAGATATGCGCAATATGTTCTCTCAGTGTGTTCTCGACTTTGTTGTCCTGCTCGTGATGAAATGATCCGCAAGCTCACTCAGACAACCGACCTCGTTTTGCTGTTCAAGTGAGTATCTTGTTTTATTTTCATTTGAAGTCCACAGCTACAAGTCTTGTCTTTCAGAGGAATATTTGAATTGCTCACCACGATGCGCATGGATTTTGCCAATTTTTACATTCAACAGTTTCGCCCTCACATTCAGCTCTCATCTGTGGAGTACGAACGTGAAAAGTTCAAGACACTGTTGGAAACCTCGCAGAGTATGTACCTCTTAACTGCTTTATTTTATTTAAGCAACTTCTTAATTCCATTCATTTTGCAGAATACCAAATCGATGTTCTCGAGTACACCAGCCAGTGGCTGAAACGCAATTACGAAGCACTTGATCTATCACAGGAGACCAACCTGAAGAATCTGTTCAACAAAATACTGACTGCATCCTACATTGAGCTACTTAAATGCATTTCACCATCTTTAAGCTGCTACTGTGTGAATGAAGAAAGTGAAAAGAAGCCTGATGACGACTACCCAGAGACATTGCTGCTCATTCGCAATCGAATTGATGCCATTCGTGAGAATGTCTTCAAAATGACACTGATCAGTAGCGTCTTTGTGGTCACCTTTGCCGCCATTGGCGAACCGTTGCAGTCAATTAAAGAGTTTCGAATGGAGCTGAAGCGCCAGCTGGACGCTATCATCAGCCCCAATGAGGAAAAGTCCGTTCGGCTGCAGTACAGTAAACCGGAAGGACTGAAGTCAATCCTGACTAATGTCGCTCTCCAGGTGATCAAGTCAATTGAAGAGGCACTGACGCAGTACCAAGTTGGCGAGACCCGGGCTCCTCTGCTGGACGAGAAGAAACTTGAGTCGCTAAAGTATCAGATCAACGAACTCGCCACGCCAAACAGTCGCATTCGCTCGGTTATGGAGCGTCGCATTTTGGAGTTCATCGAGCGCGTCATCTCCTCCTCCACTGCTGAGCCGGTGCAAGTTCCCAGCGGACTGAGCAGCTTTGCCTCTGAGCTCACCCAAGTGTCGGGCGAGTTTTCCCGTCTGGTGGCGTACAATCGGGCAGTCTATTCGCCAAACTACACCAAAATAATCCGCGACATTGCCTCAGAGAAGCACTTCATCACCGACAACGACGTCAAGGAAATTGAGAAAACCTTCTACGACTAGTCTCTCGCCCCTCAGTGGTATTTGATGGGCAGAGTTGCAATTTATCCCTTTTGTTTTGATATGTACACATATGTGTCACCACTTGATATAATAATCATGTCGATCAACTAAACTCTCTCTATCCCCCATGTATCACACACCATAGGATTGGTAGATGGAAAAGTTGAAAAAATTGTAATCTCACGTAATAATAATTTTTATTCGTTTGAATCACTGCGCCCTGGTGAGGAGCAGCAGTGGCTGTTGCTGCAAAGTTGTTAAGCTGCCGACGATAAGAGCCGCTTCAGAGGGACTTTTCAATTTTGATCAGCTCGAGGATGCCCTCCTGCATCTCCTTGAGCGCCTGGAACTCGGTGAGGCCGAGGCGGCGCTTGTTGCTGATGTCGAAGATGCCGCTGGAGGAGTCGGAGTGCTCTCCAGTCTCTCCCCGCACCTGCATCTTGTACTTCTCCGCCACCTCGTCCAGCTTGGCCTTGTTCGCCGCCAGCTT